AACAGAAGCCAGCATCTGCCAGATTCCCTGATCATCCTTCACTGTACTCTGTCAGTTAAGTAACGGCCAGTCTGGATGGCCCCCGGACAGGAGCAGTCTGCGCTGTTCAGTGGGGCCCTTTGGCTGGGTGTTCCCACAGCCATTTCTGGCGGGGGAGAGGTGGGATAACAACTTTATTGAGATATAATCCACACACCATACAACTTACTCATTCAAAGTGCAAAATTCAGTGGTTTTTAGTATGTTCAGAGTTGTGCCACCATCACCACAATCAGTTTTAGAACATTTTCATCAACCCACAAAGAAACCCCATGCCTTCCAGGAGTCCCCCTCCATTTCCTCCCATCCCCCAGCCCCCAGCCCTGTCTCTGGACATTTCACATAAATGGAATCATACAGCCTCTGCGACTGGCTCTTTCTCTTTCATTTGGCATACCGTTTTCAAGGTTCAGCCATGTTGCAGCATGTCTAACACTTCGTTCCTCTTTATTGCCAGTTAAAGTGCCCCTGCAGGGAAGTGCATTTGATTTGTCCATTCGTCAGCTGATGGCCGTGTGGGTTATTCCCACGTCCTGACTATTACGGATGCTGCTGCTGTGAACTTCCGTGTACGAGGTTTGGTGTGAACAGATGTTTTCATTCCACTTGGGAATAAGCCCAGGAGAACTGCTGGGTCAAACGGTAACCCTATATTTAACTTTAGAGGAACTGCCAGACTGTTTCCAAGGCAGCTGTGCCCTTTTACCTACGCCCAGCAGTGCACAAAGGTTCTGATTTCTCCACAGCCTTTTTCACCCAGGAAATGGCTACATCTCCCAGCCTCCTGTCAGCTTAGCATGCATAAGCAACTAAATTCTGCTCCTGGGATGTGAGCTGACCTCTGCGTGTGCTGCTTCTGGGTCCCATCTAAGAGGAAACCACAGGGGCTCCCTCAGCCCCTTCTCCTCACCCACCACGTGACAAGGACGGAAGCAGGCGCCCCCTGAACAGAAGCCCCAGTTCAGGACGGCAGAGCCCTTCCACAGCCTGAATTGCACATCTCTGGACTGCTGTGTGAATAAGAAACCCAGGTCTGCTTTGTTCAAGTCCCTGTGTTCTGGGATCACACATCAGAGTAACTCAGCCTGTCCTACTGTTCCCCTGTTCGGCACTGTTTGTGCACTCTGGCTGGTGACAGCATGAGGGTCTGATTCAAGACAAAGCAAGGGAGTAAAACAGCAGACCCCACCCCGATGGGAGGATGAACACCTCCCACGCACTCCCCAAAACTTGCAAAGCATAAAGACAAATAATGAAGACACATACCGACTGGTTTGTCTACAGGCAGCATGCCCAAGTACTGCACGTGGAACTTCTGGACCAGCTCAGTCTTTGGTGTTGGAAAATCTACTACAGGGAACAAAGCGACACATCTTTCTTAATGGTTCTGATATACATATAACGTCCTGTGTTTCTAGAGATAAATGTGGCAATCATTCTATAAGAACAGCATTTCTTCCACCAGACATTGGGGCTCTGTCAATCAACGTCTCGTTCATCTTTCATTTCTAGGTAGGAAAGCATTTGAAAGCAGAACTAGAATTTATGTGTTGAGATGTGACTGTCCCTTGGATGTGTGCTAGGTCGCAGCTTTGGATGTCCTATTTATTAGGTATAATTGATGCCCTGAGAAGATGTAATCACAAAGAGCGCAGAGACAGGAAGAATAACTTAACCGAGCTCCCCAAAATATCAGCCCATGTATTTTTAAACCAACTGGTCCTTACCCCAGGCTGTACCTGAGTTTCAAAACCACTAAAGGTACTTTTCTTTAATCTTGTCCAACAACAACAAAATGCATCCTGTCCCCTCATGCTGAACCCTGTTGACACAAGATCAGCTCTAAGCCATGCACGGAGGGCCGAGTGCAGGCTCGACACATGGGATTTAGGGAGACCAGAAAAGCCAGGGATCCATCTGAGACCCTTGGCTTCCTGACCCGCGTGGAGAGCGCGTTGTGGAGGGCGCAGGCGCGGCCTGCCTACCTTGCAGGGGAACGTCAAGGTTCACGTTGGTCCTTTCATGTGAGGAGCTGCCGGCCAGGGCTTTGGCATTCTTCCGTTCGGCCATAATCTGACAAAGAGAAAACGCAGCTATGGCTCACGGCTACAGACTCCGGTCTTCAGCTGGTCCAGCCAGTGTCTGTGCCGACTTCACTTCCAAGTTGAATGGGCTCTGTTGCCTGACCTCCCACCCCCGTATCTCTGAGCTGTATATTTCAAAAGCTGTGCCCATTTTCTCTGGGGATAATAGTGAATGTACCTCAGAGTAACTAACAGTCTCCTAATTGTTTGGAATTTATTCTTCCATTTACCAGGCTCCCACCTCTACTGAAACAACCCCCAAAATACCCCTAGTCGTGCACAGAGCTCCTGGCCCACAGCAGTCAGTGGAACCCAGGGCAACGGACATCCCCTACTGCTTCCAGATGGTGACTCTTGGGTACTCTCTTCAGGGCTCTGGGGACAGAGTACATGGGTTCAAACCCCACATCTGCCACTTACTAGCTGTGTGGCTTTGGGCAAGTCACCTGCCCTGGTTCACTTCCTCCACTGCACATGGGGATGGTACATCTGTCCCTAGTAACACTGTGTCGGTCCTGAGAGTAAGTATGAACACTCAGAAGCGTTAGCTGCCAGTGTTGTCGTTATTGTCGAACTGTTTAAATCTGTCAGCCCTCTTTCAAACTCTCCTCTGTTGGGGCTGCTAACGTCTCCTTGACTTGAGAACCATCCCTTTTCACCCCTGTTCACAGCGTTGTGGCTTTGAAGACTGAAAGAAGCCACCTTCACTGACCCCCAAAGCAGCTCACATCCTCATTCCCAGCCCCACCTTCCCACCCGGGTGGAACAAAGTCACTTCCCCCCAGAGCTCCACTCCGCCGTCTCCAGATGTGCGCCTGGGACGGCGGGCAGGAGGGCTACTGACAGCAGAAGACTCGTGCTCTGGGCCAGGCCGAGCTCTAAGGGCTTCACACTGGAGTACAAGCTCCACAAGGGCCAGGATCTTCTATTTTAGCCTCTGCTGTCTCCTCAGAACAGGGCCTGGTGCATGCACGGCATTCAATTACATTTGCTATGTGAATGGATGAGGAAATGAAACTGGGGAGCGCGGCATGCACGTGAGGAAGGTGCACTGGGCTGCTGTGACACGGGCTCTCTGGACCGGCGACTACCCCACAGGGCCCAGTCACATGGTCAGAGCAGCAGACCGCTGTGCTGTTTCTCTGGGGACCGGGGACAGCTCTCATCCCTTCCCCTCCCTCAGGAACTTCACTCCTGCTTCTCCGAGACCAGGCTGGGCCTGGCAGCTCGAGGACTTGTGGGAGTGAGGCTGTGTAAGGGTGCCAGCCTGAAGGCACGACGGTGACATGCAGCACAGGTGACATGAAGCCCGTGCTCAGGTCAGTAAGTACACCTGGGGACTGGAAAGGCCTGACTGAGGGAGACTGGGGACAGTGTCCTGGAGGTCTGGCCACCACTCCTGGAACCCAAGCCAGCAAGTAACGTGGTCAATAAGAATGGATTCTTGGAGGTCAACGGTCAGAGTGGCCACGGTCTGTTCTGGAACACTGGGTCACGCATGGGAAAGCAAGCAGGGTGTGCCTGGAACAGGACGCTTAGGGGCCTGGTAACCCTGGGACCCGACAGCAGCTGAGGAGGCAGGGTGGGCATGCTGGAGAAAGGAGGAAGCCGGGAGCAGGAAGGCTCAGCAGCAAACACCCATCCAGCACCACGTGAGCCAGGCCCAGTGCGGCTCCACATGCCCTCCAGTCCAAGAGCTGCCAGCAGAGACAAAGAATCTCTCTCACTGCCACAGACCACATGTCTCCAGTAACCACGTGGAGGTCCTAGAGGGGAAGGTTTCAGGTCCACACAAGAAAGGCCTCCACGAGAGCCAGAGCGGCTCGGTCCCAGAGCAGGCTCCTGAAAAGTACCAGACCTGTGGGTGGAGGTCAGTGAAGGGCCCGCAGAGGTGCGGGGATGCTGCGCTGGAGGGAAGGAGCGAGGGAGGGAGGGAGACTGGGCTGTGACACCCGACTGTCAGTTCTCCTTCTGAGGCTGCGACTCTGGTTAATGAAGTGGGGCGCTTACCATCGTGAGCCAGTGACAGTGACCAAAGCCCTGCCTCACCACTGGCCAGAGTGCTCATGAGCTGCGGTGTGTTCTCATGAAGTCAGTGTGTGTTCATGACCACCCCTAGCTGCCTGCATTTCCACAGACCCCCCAGAAGGAAGGGGACCTCCCTTCCTTCTGTCCGTGTTCCCTCTCAGATCAGGGGGCCCTGTCCCTCGGAAATCTGCCAACTCCCTTCACGTTTCCCGGAGGGGCTCGCTGTACATGGTGCGTCTCCACCAGCACACCTGCCACCCTTCTGTCCACCTATTATACACCCCGGACTGCGGAAGGGACCAAGGCTGTCCTCCTTTTGTAGGTGGAGCACCATTCAAGAGTATTAACAACGCTTGCTGAACTTGACAGTCTGCCTGCTTCTCCCTGAGCTCCATTTGCAGGTCCATGTGCCAGACTCTCCAGCCCTACCACATCCCTTCCCTGCTGGAGCAGTGAGAAAAAAAGAGAGGGGCGGGCCACAGTGCCCTGACCCACCTTACCTTGGAACAAATTTCGTGGAGACTCGTGGCGATGGCTTTTGCTGGTGTGTCACATCGAAATACATGACATTTCAAAATTCTTGTGTCTCTGTCTCTTGCTACATAAGCAAAATCTCTGTGCAAACAAAATGTATCGGTACATTAGGATAAAGAACCTTACGTAACATACATTCTGGTTGTGAATGTTAACTGAGCTAAGAGCCAGCATGTCAGAGGTAAACAGAGAATGCGATGGTAAAAAAATAAGTGTCAACAGCTACCTCAAACAGAGGAACAGTTTTATGGATATTAGGAATTCATTTCTGAGCGAAGTAACTAGGATGTTCCCCAAATTCTGTTTGTTGAGCTCCTGGGATCTTAATGAACAATGCTTAATGAAAACCAAATTTTATAGGACACTTCTATCCAGAGTAATAACAAATATTATGATTATATGTATTATGACCACAGAACAGAACACAGGCTCGAAGGGAGCATGAATTTGTATGAGTGAGATTGTGGCAAACATGGGGGTGCAGCAGAAGCAGAACAATAGGCTCTGATGTGTAAATAGGTGGCCGGAGAGCAGATCAGAGCTGCAGCTGCTGAGAAAGTGGACGGGCGATCACAGCAACACAGAGACACCACAGGCTGAAGTCCTGTCAAAGGCACTTGATTCTGCGCGACACCTCTCTTACTCTAGGGCCTGGGGCTACGGCAGCAGCCTCAGCCTCACACCTGTATCGTCAGCTCAGACACGGCGGTGCAGCTGGTGCTGGATTTCAGCATCTGCTTTACTGATGAAAGGATATCGCCGGTGATGTTACCTGGCTTCAGAAGAACCATGCCATACAACTAGATTTCTCACTCTTAGTATTGAGGACAGCGGTTCAAAGTGCTTATGAAAAATAAATGCCCAGATTTACCCATCTGGTAGTGGATCACAGTGATTTCTTTGTGTGTGGTGCTAAGCTAGGATCCTTGTCTGTAGATATAATCACAGATGAATGTATTACTTCCCTTAATGTAGGAGCTGGCAGTGTTCTCACAGACTGTGATAGATTTTCCCCAAGACAGACTTGGCTTCTTTGGGAAGGCAGAGGGGTCTACTTGCTGGAGGCAACCGGCCACCGTGAAGGTCTGGCCAGAAAAGCCCTCCCTGTTGCCTGCTCCGGGGAGCCCTGTGGTGACTCCAGGCCAGGGGTATCTTTATCTGGCTGCCCACAGGCCCTTGAACCTCCAACCGTGCACACCTGCCCTCAAGTCTGCTCGCCTCCGCCCTCCCCTGTGTCCTCCCGTTCTCTCTCAGTTGGAGTCCTCCATGCCAGAATCCGGGGCCTTCCTCACGCCCCACACTCCGTACCCAAACCCCGTGTTCAGCCTGCTTGACCTCTTGAAAATGTCTTGAAGTCACCCCATCCTTGCCAGCGCTGCTACCACTCAAGCATCCTAAGTGGGTTCTCGCGTTTGCCCCGCCGTCTCCACGCCCGGGCCACGGTCTCAGCCTCAGCTGAGGCTGGGCGAGTGCCTTCTCAGAGCCGCCGCGCCCCTGGGACACATGGCGCTCAGCCCTGGGTACCGTGAGCGTCTGCTTATGCGCTGTCTTCCCCACTCCCCTCGGAGCTCCGTGAAGATGATCTGTGCCTTCTTCGTCCCCAGGACCCAGCCCGGGCCTGGCCACAGCTGGTACCGAGTGCCCCTTCCTCTCACACACGGGGCCTGTGGCACCCCCACCGCCCATCTAGAAAGTCAGCCTGTGCTCAGAGGTGGCGCACGGCCTCGCTCCACACTGTGCTCCTGAGGCCCTTCCATCCTAGTCTCAGCCCGACCAAGACAGCACATTACTTAAAGAGGAAGTGAAGAGAGGACATCACTTTTGGAGACCATGCTCAAGGGAAGTCCTGCTGTGGTCCCCCTCCTTCTGGCTACTTTTCTTTCCTGGGTGGGTCCCAAAGTAATACACACAGTGTCTTGTCACACACAACTCTCTTCTTTAAAAATTCCACGTTCAATTGCCATTTTTCTGAGGTCAAATCTCTTTGAAGTTCCTGTGGTCACCCATGGAAAATCCAAAAACTTTTGTCTGCATTTCTGGAGTTCCAAAATTGGTCCCACCAACTCTTCCAGCATCCTTCCTCCAACCAAGGAGCTTTCCCCTCTGCTCCAGAAAGGGGGGTCTTCCCACCTGGCGACCCTGGCCCCCCTGCCCTTCTGGAGCTCACTAACCCATCTACTCGGTACTGTTCAGCCCAAAAGACGGCCCCCAGCACCTTGCTGGTGTCTAAATGCCAACAGGATCTGCGTTCTGTACCACAGTGGATTAGAGCCAGTGATGCCCTACCTTAAGTAGTTCCTGTAACGTTCCCACCTGCATCTGTCCTCCCTGAGAGGGCAATGGATCAGGATTCAGGCAACCCAATCTCTAGTCCCATTTCTGATTCCACTGAGCTATACCACCTCGGGCATGGAGTTGGACCTCATCTCTAAGTCATGTAACATGATTTCCAAGGTCCCTTTCTGGCTCTGATGTTCTATGATGTAAGCCTCCAAGATCCACCCTGCTCCCCCAGACTGCTGGCTGGTCTCCAAGTGCAGCAAGTGCAAAGACACCGTCGGGGAGGACCAAACAGGCCCTGATCAAAAAGCGATGGATCACTCCCATCAAACTTCAGCTCTGTGCCCTCTGTTCTTTCAGATGCAACCCCTTAGGAGTAATTTTTTAAGATTATTCTTATCAATCTTCATTTTCCTTCTGGCTCAGGAGAAAATGATTAATGCCTGAGGAGACCATCTGGAATCCACGTCTTCCCACAGGGGCAGCGCAGCAGCCGCAGGGCCTGTTCGGGAGGTTCTGACACTTTTGTTTTCCCTACAGTTTTGTCTTTTCCTGTTCCCTCCCAGGTACCAGGCTGACAGATCAGGGAGGCAGAAATCTGTCGGTCCCTAATAGCTGACAGTCTGGTAACTAACCTCCCAGGAGAACACAAGTTCCTCCTCCTCACTGTGGGGGTCAGGAGATGTGCACGTTTATTCCCATGAAACAGACCCCAAGTCACCCTAAAACAGCGGGAAGCCCCGAACATGGGGATTTTTAAGACCTCTCTTTCCGATCTGGGGCACAGACAAGCCAGACAACTTCCTTTGTGTGCAGTGAAATATGCGGCTTAGCTACTCTCATCATTACTCAGAATGGAGTCCAAACCGGTTATTTTAAAAGCCTGGCTTCTCAGCACCTGGTTTCTCAATAAGGCTGCTTTGGTAGACAGAATGATGACCCTCCCAAGATGTCCCTGTCTTAATTCCCAGAAGCTGTTAATAGGCTACCTTAAAGGGCAAAAGGGGCTTTGCGGATGGGATGAAGTGAAGGATCTTGAGGTGGGGCTGTTGTCTTGGATTATCCGGGCAGGCCCAACACAACTACAAGGGAAGGGAGGAGGCACTTTCCTTAGAGGTGAAAGGAAGGCAGGCAGCACCTAAAGGCTGGAAAAGGCAAGGAAAGGGGTTTCTGTTGGTGTCTCTAGGAGGAACACAGCCCTGCTGACACCATGATCTTAGCCTGAAAGACCCATTTTAGATTTCTGACCTCCAGAACTGTAAGAGGATAAATTTGCGTGGCTTTAAGCCACTAAGTTTGTGGTTAATTTGCTACAGCAGCAATATGAAAGTAATACCGCTGCCAGTATTACGATACTAGTCAAATTATGATTCAGTATAAAGACTTATACTTTAAAAAAATATTCAATTCACTTCCACAAATACCTTCTGAGCCACTATTATGCCCCAGGCACCAGGGATGCAAACACAAACAGATGAGGCTCCAGCCTAGGAAGCCCGCTGTCCGATGACAGAGCTGCTCAGTGAGGTCTGAGCTGCGTCAGTAAGGATAAGGACCTCAGCAGGGTGAGAGGGCAGCGATGGCTCAAAGCACGCTCACATGCGCATGAGCAGAGGCACGGAGGTAAGCAAGCCCACAGAGGGTTCGGAAGAACTCCAGTCCTGTGCATGACTTCCGGCACTAGGGTGAGGGGCCATGGCTGCAGGGAGGTTGTGCTCCTGTCCTGCCAAGAGCCTGGCCCTTACTCTGAATCATCGAGTCTGTAATATGACACGTAACCCTATCTGACAAATGTTTTGAAAAGTTCCTTCTGGTAGAACAAAGTGGGACAAAGGAAGGAGGCCCCGGGGCTGCTGCTTTGGTTGGGGTGAGAGAAGAAGAACAGGGAAGGCTCCATGAGCATCCGTGAAGACGGGGTGGGGGGAGTCGGGGGGTGGAGGCAGACTGGCAGGGTTGAGGGGTGTGGGAGACGAGAGGGAGAATCCAGAGTAACTGTGGGGCCCCCGCTTGGACAACTAAGCGCTCTCACACTGGGGGAAGGTGGGGGAGTGATTTGGTGGAGGAAGCGGATAAGCTCCAGGCTACATGATGGGTGTGAGGTGCTTGGGGGGCACCTGGCGGCCACGCCCACCAAGCAGGTAGACACTCAGTCCCTGAGCCCAGTCCTATGGTCTGGGCTGGAGACCCCGGCTTGGGGGGGGGGCGAGCTGCAGTCAGGGGAGCAGATGAGAGTGTGGAGAATGAGAAGAGACAAAACAAGGCCTGGACCCCGAGGAAGAAAGCCCAGGAGAGGCTGGTTCCAAAACATCAAATGAAGGGATTTCAGGAGAGGTCCCCATGGCTGCAGGGGCTGGGTGGCAGGAGACAGGTCACTGGGTCTCAGGGATACAGAGGTGTGCAGGGACCTGGGCCTCCCTGGAGAATGGAGTTTGGGTCCCAGCTTCAGGAGACTGTGGGGTGCAGGAGTTACATGAGCACAGTGCACCTGCCTCCCTGCACCCTCTTCTTATACCTCTCATTCCAGAGCTTCTCAAACATCCATGAGAGGAGAGAGGACCTCCAGTGAACAACAGTGTCCCATCATCTAGCTTCACGGTGACCCAGACGTGGCCCCACTCAGCCTTTCACTTTTTTCCAATCATCATTATGATCCTGAAAGATCTTACGCCCATTTGTAAGAGTAATTTAATGCTTTCTAGAGCTTTTCCTGTATACTGAGAGGGATAAGAAATTGCCTTAATAACCATCCTCCACAGCGACAGTATTCCTGACAGAAAGTACAAACCGAAGCTGTCAGACCAGCCCAGTGCCCCGCGTGGGGATCTGGGCGCGGGGTTAGGGGGGGTCACCCAGCCAGGCAGGGCCCGCAGGGGCTCTGACATCATGATGAGGGCATTTCAGGAGCCTTCCTTGGGGAGCCTCAGTGGCTCTCCGCCCCCACTTCTCTGCACAGAGCTGCCAGTGGCACTTGGGCTGCAGCTCCCTGGCAAGTGTTGGATCTCAGAGCTGAGCCAGGTTGGGATGGGCTTCCACGCCACCCCACGCCATGGATCAGGCACGCCATGGACCAGGCACCCCCATGGTCATGCCTCCTCCAGCACCTTGGCGTGGGCATCTATAAGACCACAGAGCTGGCCCAGATGTCCCACAAGGTCCAGTCAGAACAGGCACTGTCTTTTCCAACAGATTATTCTAGATGCCCATCAGTCGGAGACATTCTGTCTGCCACTGAGCAGCAAGGACCATTTTTGTCCTCTGCTTACTCCCCGAGTGAGAAGCCATTTGCTAAAAGAGGTGCCGCCCCATTTATTTTGTGCAGTGGGGGATCCCTGTACTCCCTTTATAAGCCAGTACGTGCAACATTTACAGCTGTGTCTCTTCCTTAAACTGTCACAGAAGTGAGGACCAGGGATCAACTACCTTTCACCATTTGCTGGCTGAGCCCTTGCATTTCCAACTCTTTTTGTTCCTCTTCTTTTGCTGTTCTCCCCAGTAATTATTCCCCCAGAGGACGGGCCTCAAGTTCTGCCAGGGAAAAATGTCAGTGCTAAGACATCTTACATGACAGCCTCAAATTTCTTAATGGCAAAGAAAAAGAACAAAAGATTTGCTGTTATTATTCTCAGCTGAACAGCATTTTAATTGCCCTGCAGGGGTTTAATCCATCTTGCTGGAATGAATGAATACACAAGTCTTTATTCAAACATGTTCTATTAACAAGTGGCCAAGACAGAACGTCTCACCCTTTCCCTAAATCTCCCCCTGCCTCCCCTGCAGCAACTCTCAGATAAATGAAATTTGCTTATGCGTATATCCCTCCTCAAAAGGAATTTAAGAGGCATCTACAGACCTCTTAGCGGTCACGCAGGCTAACATTTCAAAGTCCCTCCTTCCACAGCAACCCAGACAGGGGTGCCCAGACTCTCTCAGTCATACAAAGTCTCATTTACTTAATGGAGCAGCCTGCTCCCTTGCTGGAACGCTCCCAGTGAATCAAAATATATCTTTTCTTAATGATGAATGGAAACTTGCCTCCCTGCAACTTTTGCCTATGGGATCAGGCTCCACTTTCCGGAGCAGCCCAGAACGAGCCACCCTCGTTAGCCACGTGACAGCCCGGATGTGTCTGGCAGTGGCTCTCTCCCCTCTTCTGCTAGAGTCCCTCCATTCAGTCTCTCCACAATTTGGTAACATCTTTTACATAACCCGCATTTGCTCTGAGCAAATACATGTTTGATGCAGGGAATATTTGAAGGTTGGCACATGACAGGCCATCGATTAATGTTAGCTGTTATTATAAACCAGGGAAAAGAAGTCAAAGAAAAAGCCCACTTTGAAATACGGTCTCCTCATCCACAAGGGATGTTTTAATAAATCTTTGCACTGATATGAATATAATAAGACTTGCTGAAATGTACCTGAAGACCCTTTCCTCCCAGCTTATCCTGTAGAAGCGATAAGCGAACAGAGTCATTACCACCTCAGAGGACAGGTCCCACCTGCAAGGACGGACAAAAGAGCAGCAAAGAGATTTGATCCAAACGTTTCATTTCTAGCCCCTTTTCGATAAAGGGCCATCTCTCTTCTTTGTCTCGCCTGCACAGGGCCTACATGGAAGGGTCCTATTTTCAAGACTGCCTGCTCGTCTTTGCCTGACTGCCCTTATCTTCTCATTGCACTTGGAAAAATCCTGTTGGGGAGGAGGGGTAGGAAGAAAGTAGCGGGGGGAGTTGAGAAATGTCCTCTTCCTAAAAGGCTTATCCAGAAGGCTATGCACACATACACGGGCACGCACATGACTTTAGTTTTTTTAATCTTACCCAGTGGCACATGCACCACACGCAGGCATCACTAATTTCCCAAAGCTCAGGCTCTAGTTTGGTAAACTCATCTTTCTTTTCCCTTCTTTGCAAGCTTAAAAGAGGCTAAGTTTGTAAACTCTGATGGGGGCATCTGAGCAACTCATCACCTGGGTAAACACACATTCTCCGCAGGGAATCCTTCACCAGGCACATTCATGAGAGGTACAGACTGTGTACATGGCAGATTTCCAATTCTACCACCTGCAAATAATCCAGGTGGCTTGGGCGAACCAGAATTTGTAGTCCTCTCTAGAACAGTCTCTCTGTTAATATTCGGAGCAGCTGGCTCCCTGTGAGACCTGAATAAACACAGAGGGTGGAACCAGCAACTATCTGAAAACACCCTCACCACTGGCTCCGACAAGCCTTGTGGTTACTTTACATGAAGAAGCTCACGTTCAAACATAGCCTTCATCCTCCAGAACCTTCCCCTACCTCTGGGGCCAGAGCCTCCTCAAAAGCAATTAAAAAGTCAGTCATGCTCCCAAATTCTCCTAATCACACCCCGTGGAAGGCCGACCTCAGTACTGTTGCCCATCCAGCCTAGGGTCTCCGTCCCCTCCGGCCACCAAGTCGTGACGGCAGCTCATCCCCGGGAGAAAGGCGGCCACCAGTCGGAGCTCAGCCCCAGCCGGAGGGCCACCTGAGACGGACTCCGGCACAAAGAGCAGTAATCACAGTCATTCTTCCAAGGAGAAAAATTCCAAAACTGTCTCCTTCCATCAGAAATGGAGCTTTTTATTAGGTGACAGGGCTGTGGAATCACGGAACTTAAAAGCCCCCAGTCAACCAAATGGTCAGGCTGAGGTTCTGAGCACGGGAAACACACACACCTGAGGAATAAACGTCTTCCATTTCAGAGTCATGGCCTTTCCGTGGCTACGTTCTTCTGGATGTGGGAAGGTAGGGGAATTCCATACAGTTTGGCTAATAATCAAGATCGAGAGTGAGTTGGTCCTTCTGGCTACTGGCCTAGAGCCAACCTTACCTGGGAAACTATAGAGAAGTCATAACAAGCAAGTCCTAATACAAGTTCTTCTAGAAGCACGAAAGGTCTCCTCACACTTGAACCCTATTCCTATCACGCCTAGTACCTAACACACTGATCAGACTCTGCCCAGCCGTGAGCACGAGTGACCAAGCTCCTGTTCCTCTTAACCACCCTGCCCATCACCTGCCCCAGACAGGGTCAAGCAGCAGAGGATCGGGTACCCAGAGGCAATTTCACACTGTTTTAAGTGCAAGACACACACCAATGAGGATGAGAAAATGTTAAACACAACAAAGACAGTGATGGCTCTGAGGATGGCGACAGGGCATGAAGAAAGACAGGGCACGGAGAAAGCACATGAGCTTTGCCAGACAGTTAAGACAGCATGAAGGGGGAAAAGTGAACATCGGTTGGTTACCTCTCTCTGAATCCGGGAAGGCATGAGGGAACAGAGCAGAAACAACACGTTAGCATTCAGCCGGCATCTGGGAAATAACACCGTCCCAATAACAGCAACTCTGAGCACGGACGTCCCATCTTATTTCCCAACTTTGCTGCAATTAATAGCCTTTCGGTGCTTATTTTAGCTGAACTCCCTCACACAGAAGTGTGTATTTTGAGCCACATTACGATGAAGCCAAGAGACGCCAGCTGACTTTACAGAGGCAACATATCAACCGGGGGAGGTAATCAAGCCTAAAATATCACAGTGAAATACAGGAAACTGCGGTGCACAGCGGCGGAGCACTTATCCTCGTCTTCCACTCCTCCTGCTCCCAGTAAAAAAACATTTGGAAACAATGATATGGAAACAGCCTTACCTACTGACATCCTATTCATAGAGCTACAACTTTATAATCCAGGTACTTTCACAGAAGCGCATCGAGAGAGAGCAACAGAGCAGGAGGGAGCAGAGACAGAGAGGCAGAGGTGGGACGAGGCACGGCCGGTAAATGGGAGCATTAAGGTGAGGAGGACACAGACTTTGCCCTCCTTGGAGAGGAGCTGAAAGCAGTCTGGGATTTGGGGCCAAAGGCTTTGAGTCCATCCCCAGAGCTGCTCTGCTAATGAAGTCACCAAACCTCCCGACCCAAGGTGCTCCCTACCGGCTTCTGGTCTCAGCACAGCCCGTGTGAAGGGGCCCAAGGACAGAGCCCCAGGCATGCATTACTTGTGCCAGGCTGAGGAGGCGGGAGCACCAACACAAGGAGGAAAGGCAGAAGCCCGCTCTGTTAGGCGCCCTGTGGCCGGGGTCACGGAGCAGCCAGCAGAGCCCCGCGGAGATGAGAGCTGAAATCACTGAGTGAAGAGCCAGCAGTCCCGGCGATCTGCAGTCACTGGGCAGAAAGGCGGAGCTGTCCCTCCTCATACAGAACAGTGGCCGTGACAGATTATTAAATAGGGGGAAGCAAACGACCTAAGCTGAAGATGTATGGTCTTAGAGGAAAACCAACATAAAAGTTTAAGTGTGTATTTTAATAAGTGCATGGTAAAAAATCTGGAACAATTTAACATCCAAAGCGTCACCTCTTATCTGGAGGGGGGATTACAGAAGATTGTATTATGTTTATTTGAATATTAAACAATAAGCACACATGACTTCTGTAATACAAATATGTCAGTATCTACCTCAATACTTGAGGGAAACCACTGTGATACGCATGCCCAAAGGCAGAGGTGACCACACGGCAGTGTATGTGACCACCACAGTCACTTCCAGAGACTACCAACTACTGTTTCCTGAATTCTGGTTCTGTGTCGCCAAAACAGCAACCTGATAAGGTAAATACTACTGTTCTCACTGATAGAAACGGAAACAAGCTCAGAGAGACTGAGGGATTTAACCAAGGTCACACAGCGGTACCCGGTGAAGCCAGCATTTCACTGTAGGCCTGCGGGACTCTAGTTCTGGTCTTCTGAGAATGGGGACCTCATGCTTCCTCACAGCCCTGCAGAACCACCTCACGCTTATCTCCCAAATGAGCCAGCAGGTTGCTATGCACTGGTGTTCAAGGTGGGGCAAAGGGTTTGCAACTGGGGTTTCAGATGAACAGGGGAACCTCCCTCCCTCTCTGTGGCCTGTGAACTTTATTAGGGGGAGAAGGTGGCTGAAAGTTCCCAAGCAAGGCCCTTTGGTTGAGCAGGCAGAGCTGTGTTCAAATCCTGTTGGTGGCTGTGCCCTTTTGGGTCTACTACTTACTCTCTCTTTCCCCTAGGCTCCCTCTCTGTGCCAGGCACACCATGTGGGATGGTGTGCCCCTCAGAACCTGCTTCCTTGTCAGGAAAAAAGGGACAAGTACTCCAGCTCAGGGTAATTATAAGAACTAAATTAAGTGAGACGGTGTGTGCAGAGAACGTCTGGTGTGTCACAAAGTGCAACAGACTGCATCACTGTAGCGATCATCACCAGGTCACTTGATGGTGTCATGTCTCAGCTGGGTCATGCTGGGCAGAGCGTGAGATGAAATGTCTCCCATGGAAGGGAGGGCACTTGGGGGAGTGTCTGTGGCCCTCCCCTCAGATTTGCTGGGTACCACTTTTCATAGCATGAGGTCACCTCTGGCACCTGTCCCTCTGCACTGCCCCACTAGTAAAAAGCCAGTCTTTGGAGGCAATTTAGATTATCAGTAAAGGATCCAAAGTCCTGGATTCTAGTCTCAGTTTGAGCAAACACTCTGCAAATCACTTCACCTGAGTCCTGGGTTTTTCATCTCAGATCATTTGCTCTAGGAAATCTCCCAATGCTCAGATTTTTATCAGAAAAGGATTCAAGTGCTTTGACTCTTACTACAAAGACGAACGGGCAGCATTTCTTTGATTGGTTTTTGATTTATGCCAGATGCTTTTAATTTTTAATTCTTACTAAAAAGGCCATATCTAGCACACGTAGTATATTTAAGTAAACTTAAACCTAGACATTGGAGGATACAATTTGTTTCTTTTGTGTTTATTATTGGAGCCGTGGATATTTTAAATCAGACCTATTACTAGTGATTCACTTAAGAAAATAACATCAATACATAGAATACAATACAGTGCAATACTACTATATTTTTTTCCTGAAGGCAGTACTCAGAAAATGACACTGTGAACTTTTAACAAGGTTAATTCTTTGGAGTTAACAGACACTGCTTGATTTAAGTGTTGAAGTAAAAACCAGCCATGAGTAGGGACTTCAGAGTGATTTTTGAAATGTCATTCAAAAAATGCAGAAGAGTCACAGTGACAGCTGTTCAACCAATCCAACACCTTGTAATGTGCAGGGGGAAAAAACAGCAGCCCGAAGCTGGGCTTCTGCAAAGGCCACGCCATTCTGAGGGTGGGGAGAGCTAAATTTAGAGTCAGGCACAAGCTTACTCCCTTCTCACTGTTCAAGATGCCAGTGGGAAGACTCCAACCCCACGATTAATTCCACACCAGCTGCAGGCCCCAAGGCTGCCTGGTCAGCATGCTCTTGGAAGCTGTTTATTGGGAAAATGAATGGAGGGGTAATTGGCAATGTTTTCATTAAGATAAGGCTGAAATAACAACTACTTGGCGTATGTAACTGCATCCAAATGAATAGGAAATCCCTCAAAAAAAAAAAAAAGCATACTAGAATGACAATGTCTAAGTCCAGAGCTTTTTGGAAGAGGACGCATGTCCAATTCCCCAGCACAGCCACCTACTTCTTATGCAACGCACACCATCTACTTTTCACAAACTGAGCACGTAAAGCAAAGACTTGCCAGGGTACTTCTCACTCCATTTTTGCAGAACTCTCTGCTTTGTGCTACTTTTCAATGCTTGTCTTTCGTCACTGAGTCTTTTAACCCTTCTGAGCACCAACACAGACTGGCATTATCCACATGGCAATGAAGTAAAAACATAAAATTTCACGTCATGAAAACTCTCACACCAACTCCTGAACCTTATGGTTCACCTTTTCCTGCAGCTTCAAGTTCTTTGGTCTGTGACATTTCTTCACTGTCTGCCCTGTCTCAAGGCCCTTAGCCCCTCTGTTCTCCAGTTTCCTCATCTGTGAAATGGGAGCGACACCGGTACTCACCTCCTAAGGATGCTGTGAGGATCACGTCCGTGAATCTCTGTGAGACTCACAGCAGAAGTGTATTCAGTGTGGACCTGATGTGTACGATCAGCAGTGCGGTAACCAACTGAGGGTGCGAAAAGGGAGGTCTGCCGAGAGGATGTTTCTAACCTGTTCAGGTTCAGGGAACCTTTTGGACTCTGATGAAAACACTCCAGGAAGAGATGTCCACAGACACCCAACTTTATACACCTTCTCAAGGGGTGGAGGAGAAAGTCCAATAATCCCTGAAACTCATTCACAGACACCCTGTAGGTGAAAGACTTCTGAACTGAATTCTGAGTTTATGCCAATTTGCCATCTGGTGTCCAGTGAATTTCAGAAAATTCAGCTTAGGGGAAGGGCCTGTCCTTCCCAGGACCAAACAGAGACAGAAAACCCCTACTCTGACAAGTGCACCTGACTTTGCAAAGTGAGCTCCCTTCCCACCTCATTGCTCCTGCAGCCTCTTCCCACAGCCCCCCGCTGGCACGACGCAACCTATTAACGGTTACACATAGGAGCTGGAGTTCCAAATGGAGTAAGTGTGAAACTGAGGACCTAAAGTGGTTTAAGGTTATTGAAATTCAAGGCACATTTTTCTAAACAAAGGACTTTCTCATGCCACTGGGAGAGAAGACACAAGAGCTACCAGCCAGCTTACTAATGAAGGAAAAAGGATATTTGAGAGCAACCAGGAAATGAGAATTTTTTGAAAGTCCATCTTTGAAAAGAGCAAGAATTAACGAGAGTCTGCTTTCATCTGTGCTGTATTACAGTTTAAAAAAAAGAAAAGAAAAAAACCCTTGCTTCTCTGAATAGCTGAGCAGAAAGAGAATATGCACACACAATTTACATTTAGTTTTCAAGTGAGAGTTAACTTATGTCCTGTTACGGTTTCAGGGTATAAAGTTCAGGGTACAGTCAAAGGATAAATTATGTAAAATATTCCTGAATTGTGAAACCATGGGCTGGCTTCCTTCCTGAAAGCAGAGATGGTAAAACCGAAACAGAACACTTGATACTCAGAAGGCCCCATCTGACAAGGTATACGAACAAGTGAACGTTCAAAGACAGAGGCGGGAAGATGACAAAACCCGCACGCTGGGAAAGTGGTTTCCATGCGAAGAAGGGCCGTGAGCTCACCAGCCACTGGCAGGTCCGAGGGAAAACCACAGCAAGCCTGTGGGTGAAGTCCCTTCAGCTCCATGCACCCAGCCTCACGGAGGCCTCATGTGGGCAAGGCACATTCTTAAATCCGTTTCTAAATTTCCAAGAGGCTTTAGGACTCTCCCTATATAGCCAATCCCCATTCCGTTGTGCAGACAGAAGGAATACTAGTGCAGATTAGCACAAAAAGCCAAGACATTTGGCCTGCATTTGAATTTTGGGAACTTATATGTAGACACAAGTATTTCTGATACTCTGTAAACTCAATAATGGCCACAGAACAACAGACGTCAACACTAGGATGACTGAGCGCTAATAACAAAATAACAGTAGTGGTTCCTAT